CTTGAGCTAGTTGGTATGGTTATAACTGGCGTCGAATGTCACGTCTTGGCGAAATTCGAAGTATTCGTTCAGGGCTCGCTTTGCACACAAAGGCTAGTTTTCCGGACTCTTATACTTCGGTAAATATAGGGACGGAGCAGTCACCTGGTATGTTGGGCCGGGACCATGCTGCTAATTTTGCAAATGAGCTTACCTGAATGTATTAGGCCTGTGTTGACAGCGTTGGACAATGAATGTCTTCATCAACTGTGAAATCAATTTAATTTAGGCATTCTACTGTAAACTCGTGAATTCGGTCTGGCATGAATTGAGTTTCGCTTCTTCAACGTACAGTGATTGTTAATGATATAGGTAATGTTCGTTTACGCGCATGGAACCAGTGCACGTGTTTATGCGTAGCGTGTAAATAGTAGCATAACCAACGTTAACAGCATAACAAGTATTTACTCAGGTGTTAGCTCGTCCGTTAGGCACCACAGCTTTACTATTTCAATGGGTGAGCTTTATTCCGAGAAAATTACACAGCACGTATACCACGTTGGCGTCGTCTAATTGTCTTAAATTATGCACCAACTAGCCCAACAAGAAGTTACACTTAAGCTTTATTTGTCTATAGGAACTTCTGACATATGCCCTAACCTGTTGATGTAAGCGTCGTCGAACTTACTATTATACGACGATGGCCTGTGGCTTATACGCTTTCTAACCTCTGTATTTCGCGCAGGTCTACGCCCCACAGCCGTACCAGTTCGGCTACGAGACGCAGGACGAGTACGGCAACCGTCAGTCGAGGCACGAGCAGGACGCCGGTGACGGCGTGAAGACCGGCATGTACGGGTTCCGCGACGCGGCCGGCCTGTTCCGGCAGGTGCAGTACGTGGCCGACCACCGCGGCTTCCGTGCCTGGGTCAAGACCAACGAGCCGGGCACGCAGGACTCGGCGCCCGCCTCGGCACGAATCGAGTCGCAGCAGCCGCCGGCCGCGCACATCGCCAGTGCGGCCTCCGCAGCGCCGCACCAATACCGCCTGGTGGCGCCGCAGCAGGTGGGTTCATAAAGCGAGTCACGCGTGGTCATTACCGCATTGTAATGCGTATGTGGGTGTTTTCTTGTTTCGGAGGTGGTTTTCAGCCACGGATGTTTCGGGCCCCTCGAACAGGTGAAGCCCCGCCGCGCTGGTCTAGTGGCTAAGGTACTCGGGTGCTGACCCGTTGGTCGCGGGATCGAATCCCGGCTGCGGCGGCTGCCTTTCCGAAGGATGCGGAAATGTTGTAGGCCCGCGTGCTCAGATTTGGGTGCACGTTAAAGAACCCCAGGCGGTCGAAATTTTCAAAACCCTCCACTACGACGTCTCTCATAATCATATGGTGATTTTGGGACGTTAAACCCCACATATCAATCAAATTTAACAGGTGAAAGCAACGAGAGACACCACGCAGTAAGAGAAGGGGGTGGATAGGTCATAAATTAACAGGACATGCTGCGTGAAATAGGGGCATTTTAGGGCCGAAGCTCCTTAGGTTCGTGCCATGTCCCCTGTCCGTCGGTGTGACACGCTAGTACTGGAAGCGCCCGGTAGAAGGGGGGTGGTGCCAGCGATTACTCTTGGCGCGTGCTGCGGCTTGAAAGAAGACCGCTAGGGGCGCGGCGCCCTCTCTCTCTTTCGACAGCTGGGGTCATGGAGTGCACTTCATTATGAATAAAGACGCACGTGTTCTCACGTCTTTGCATGATCGAGTGGGCAATGTACGGGGGAATTCACGGTTAATGATCCCCCGGAGCTCAGCCCACTCGTCATCACGTACTTCGTGGATATTCTGTGATTTTTAATTCTCCCTGGTAACGAATGGGCAAATTAATGGGCCACACCCATTTGATCTCAACAGCCTCTTAAAAAGTTGTGTGGTTGGCAGCCACATTCAACCTGTTTTTAAGCGGTCTTTGTTATTCAAATATGAAAGCATAGAAAAGGTATCCTCGTGTGCACACGTCGTAGAAAACTGCAACAACAAAAAAAGTTACAGCCATCTCTTGGATAAGGGGAAACATAAGCCAGCTCTGCTTCATTACGAAAACATTATGCGATGACGCACACCAAAAATCAGAAGGCCAGTAAAGATGGTGCTGTGCGAATATTAACTATAAGCAAGAGAGTCAGGCGCCTTTTTCCTATCGAAAAAAAAAATGGCTGCATATCTAAGGAGTGAATGATGGAGAGTGGGGCGAAGTATCCATCCGTCCATTCGTTCTTGCTTCCGTCCATCTATGCGTCCGTCTGTGTGACCGTCCACGCGTCCATCCGCCCGTTCGTGCGTGCGTCTGTTTGTGCGTCCGCAGGTCCATCTGTGCGTCCGTCCCTGCGTTCGTGCATGCATCCGCCCCTGCGTCTGTACATGCGTCCATCCGTCCGTGCAGCCATCCATGCGTCCGTCCATGTGTCTGTTTGTTTGTCCGTTCGTCCATCTAGTCAACACTCCAAGTACCACCATCTCTCATGTTTTCATCGTATATTCCACATGTAGAAGCACCGCCACCCTGCGGACATTACAAGGACTAAACGAGAGGTTGCACACGCACAATTTCTTACAGCTTGAGCTTCGTGTCTACTTCCCACGTTTAACCGCCTCGAGTATATACTAGTTCACTGTATTCATGGCACTGTGGCCCAACGCTCGCTAAACCTTTCTAAAACCGAGGAGGTTATGCCCAGCGAGTGTAACGTAGTAACCCTTTCTTGCCAGATAGTGCGCAATGCACATGCCAATGGCTGCTAATGAGGAATGAGAGACAAGAGAATTCGGCTTTTAGTTAATGCGCACGCTGCGAATTTTTTGTAGTTCAACAACGCACTGGAGAAATCTCCCACCGGCACCACCTTTCAGGTCAAAAGGTAAGACTGGTTACACACAACGACTACGACTACGATTACGACAACGAGGGACGAACGGATGCCGCTTCAAGAAGCTTCGCCCCTAAAAAGGAGGGAGGGGGAGGGTCGCAAGCGGAGCTTTTCATCTGTCTGCTTGACGTGCTTCGTCTTTTACAAAAGCGATAGCCCTAGAGGTTTCGTCAAGTGCGAAAAGTGATCGTCCGCGGAGTCAGCGTCAACACGGGCGGTTCAAAATCGCAGTATATCCACGGAGTGAATGATGATGAGTGGAGCGAATTGGCCTTCACCCTGTCCGTCCGTTCGTTCTTGCCTTTGTCCATCCGCGCGACCATCCGCGCGTCCGTACGTACGTCCATGCGTCTGTCCCTTCGTTTGTGCGTCCATCCATCCATCCGTACGTACGTCTGACAGTCTGTGTGGTCCTCCGTCCGTGCGTCCATCATTGCGTCCATCTAGTGAACTCTTCAAGTACCGCCGTCTCGCATCCCCAGTGGCACATACCCACTATAGAGCGGGTATGTGCCAAGCGTGTCATGCCGACGGACATGGTACATTGTTCGTCTCTAAGGACCTTCGCTTCTAAAAAATCCCAATATGACGCCACTGTGTGACATCACCGTGAAATTACACGTCGCCAAAATGTGAGATGTCTTCCAACCTCACTATGGCGTCACATGACATGGCGATGATTTCATCAAGTCACATGGCAGCTGGGATGGGCCGATATGGAATACCACGGCGAAGCCACTATAGGGCTGGGCAAACCTTGCATGCCTCCGATCTCGGAGGCAGTGCGAAACCACTTAAGGTGGAGAAAGCTTTGAGGTAATTCATCATCAATGCAATCGAACGAGAAGAAAGTGTAGAAGGTAGATTTTGCTTAATGAACTCTCTTAACTTCTTACTTCCTGCATTCCGGGCATTGTGTAGCGTTCCACGTGCTTAGTAGCACAACACTTTAGCTGCTACAGGACACAAGAAGAGTCACGCGTTCAAATTCAGGCTTTAATAAAATATGGCAACTTAAAATTACAGGCCAACTCGATAATCTAGATAAAAGATCGTGATGCCATATCAATGACGGCTTATCGCTGGCAAGCTCACGGTCGAAAGGGCATCAGCTATTGTAAAACATTGCGTACAATTAAGCACGAGACCGGTGCACCTTTGAGGCTCGCATTTCTACAGGATTACCAGATCCAAGCTTTTTGCGGTAAGTTGCCGCAGTATTTAAATTGTTCTTCCTGTTGAGCATAGTACTTAGTATCTAAATCGTCAACCACTTTTTCTAAACACAGCTGAGTACGAAGTACTCGAAATCGTTAAACATTTTTTCCTATACAGCTTAGCCCGTGGGACGGCTTTCAGCTCGCCCATAGTACAGTTCCCAGTTCTGTAAATCGTAAACCACTTCTTCCAAACGCATCCTTGTTCATGTAAATTGAGTCTGTTTTGTCATCATCGTTAATATATGCCTAAGAATGAAATGTGCTGTTGAAATGTTATTGACGTCTGTGACTAACTTTTTTCTAAACATGTCTAGAAACTTCCAATTGCGGACGGCCCACTGCTCTCTCGTAGTTGCGTATGAGGTACTCCAAATCGTTCAACATTTGATCTAAACACTGCCCACGAGTGTGGTGTTGCTGGGGGTGAATCAAGCTTTCGTATTCGAGGAATGAAGGGGGGGGGGGCATTTTGTTTAATAGTCACTATCATCACAATAACCCCATCGCATTTCAGGTACAGTTAATTTGTGTCACAGTGTCCCCCCGTCCCTAATTGGTCCTAATCGGTGTTTAGAAGTGGACGAAAGGCTGTGGCGCGCCTACACAAGCTTAGGAATAGAAAACGATCGCCGTTGTGCCCCCCCCCCCCTCCTACTTCCCCCACAACTTATGAATCAGCCACTGGGTGTAGCGCACGAGAACTCTCGGTTGGGAACCAAACGACGAAACTCGGAGTATGAACAACGCACAAATTTTTCGCCGATTGAGCATGGAGTGGAACCGGCACTGTTATTTGCGCCCGACGCAACAAACATGAGGGCCACCGATTGAATTCCCAATCGTTGACGCAGGCGCAGCACCTGGCCACCGTTGCGGCGACACCATCGTTCGTGGCTGCAGCGCCGACGTTCGTGGCCGCACCTCTAAGGAAGGTTCCCGTGCACCACTCTCTCTACCCAATCGGCGAGATATCGGCGAGACACGGCCCCATTCAGCAGGCTTACTCCCAGCAGGTATGCAAACCCATGACCTCATACCGCCGCCCCTCTCTACGCTTTTTGAACAATAGCAGAATGAAAAAAGAAACGACCATAGAGGGGCAGCATGTACTTTTATGAAGTTGGCGCTGGCGTATTATTTTGTTTTAGATAGACTTCGCCTTGCGTACGCTGCCGACAAGTGTTTCACCCCTGCGAGTCATTTCAATGCCTTCGCTGAAATTGGGTGAACGGCGTCAAAACGCCATCGTCAAAAGCAACATAATGATGTCAAATTTCAGTAGTCATAAATGTAAAACACAGATATTGTACAGCGTACGTTAGCGCAGACTTTAGTATTATTTCCAGGAATTATTATATTTAGTATTATTTCCATTTAAGAGCATTAGTAAACGCAGTCAATCTAAGCATGGCAGCTTGTCCTAGCCGGCTTCAGTGGCTGACTCCAGGAATTATAGCCATGTGGGCTGTGAGCTAACTTCGTTTTGAATTTCGACAGCTTTCAAACGTCACCACCAGGCATCAAATCAACATTATGGACTAGATCTGTACTCTGAAGTTCTTGACAGACAATGAGAGTTGTAGCGGTAGCTGATTGACCTCATTGTTATTTTTTCTCTTTAATGAATGTCTTTTACATATTGGCTGATATGGTTAGGTGCAATAAATAACCCATTCTTGTTCATTGTTTGCCAATGATCATAGGTAATTAGCTCACAATATGGGAGTAACTACTCATTCGCAATGTCCAAAGAATGTCGCAGACAAACTGTAAGTATGATCCAGAGGCTCATCCTTTCACACATGACCGTCGTGTCCACAGGTTCCAGTGCTTCGAAAGCCATCGTTCCGGCGCGTGGCCGCGCGACCGGCCTCTGTCGTGCCCGTCCTGACTCCAGTGGTAGCCTCCCAGGCAGCGTCCCCAGTCGCCGTCGAGTACGGAGGCAACCGCGGCACTGTCGCAAGAAGTGCCTCTGCCGTGCCCGTCCTGACTCCCGTGGTGGTCTCGCAGGGATCGTCCCCAGGTGCTGTCGAGTACGGAGGCAGCCGCGGCATCGCCGCGAGAAGTGCGAGCGATGGCAGTGCCAGAACAAGTGGCTCCCGTACCGTCAAGAAGGTGCGCCGCCGCAAGCCCGCCGAGTTCTTCAAGAAGTCCATCATCAACAAGCAGCGTCCCAAGAGTCAAGGACCTCGCGTTCGCGTCGTTCAGGCTACCAAGGACGGAGGCTACAGAACCATTGAACTGCCCGTTTACAAGGACTAAGCGCGCTGGCCCTCCTAACTTATTCTCCCGTGCGTTTCAAAGGCCACCGATACGGATGTAGACTGTTGGGTCTCAGTAGTTTGGTTGGTACGTGAGCTAAACCACCTGTACGGGGGTGTATGATAACGCCCGCTCTGTAGCAGCAGCGTGACAGATGTCACACCTACTGAGCTGAACCCAGTTACACGGGCAGGCAAAGGTATCGGAGCAAGACTAAGAGAATGAGGTAGACTAAGTAACTGCCAACAACTTTGCGTGACACTTACTATAGGCTGTTAAAAGTTGAAGCAGTGAACCTGTTGACATGACGTGTGCCATCCCTCCGGTGAAACATGGTTTTAACGAACACGTCGCAGTTAGAGGGTTAGTGTTCGGGCTTCTGGTATCCATGCACTATTTCAGGCAAGGCTGTTGTCAGATTTTCAGTTAAGGAAGTCTTTCCCATACATGTGGCCCGCTGTTACATCTGTGCGAAACAAAGAAATGCGTGGAAACGGTGCTGATAGTGAGCAGTCTATGCCAAATCGAGGGAACTATACGTCTGCGTATTCAACCTCTCTCATGAAGTTCAGTTCTGAAAGATAAATATGATTAGTTGTTTAGAAAAACACTTATAAGTGTTTGAAAAACAGTGGTACACTTTTCTTGAATCTATAACTGTGACATCGGTAATGACATGTTCTTATTACCTGGTTGTTAGTCGGTAAGATATCGGTAAGATGTAGGTTATATTTCACGCGACGTTTCAGCCTGCTGGCTGTACAGTGGTGGTTCTGGCAGGCTTGTTTCTGTGTAGCGTTATTGTTTAGTTCTTACCTGTTCCACGAACATTACCTGTGCGAAAATACCGCTTTTATACTGTATTACGTGAGCCTTGACAACCTTTCTCTTTGACTTTTCTTTGGTGCACGCATGTACAAAGCCAGCTATATTCAAGGCTGATTCTGTATGTGTATATACACTAGCACGTTGTGTGTTCAATAGTTTCATATCAAACATATTCGTCCAAGTTTTGTATGTGAGGTTCTTTATTTTCCCAAATCCTATTCTGTCTCAGACGAATCCTATTCTGTTATCTTTCCAGTAAGGATGGCTTCGTTGTATAGCGCTAAACTGAAGAAACAGAAGGAGGCTTTTGATCGTGTACACATTTTTATCACGATGAACACAAAAGCTTCATTGCGAAGTTATCCGATACCGATGTAAATTCAAACGCGAATACGTAAAAGCATCTGCGTTATCAATGGCGATATCAATCTGCATAATACATTAACAATGAAAATTGCTATTCTCGCTACTGCTATTGTTCTTTTGCAGTATTATCAGATTACACAATACTTGAATTCTAAAACACCCAATGGAAAAAAAATGAAAAGAAAGCAACCTGCAACCGACTAAGAAGACATTTCTAATTAGACATTGAAATTAGCCACAATAGCTGCCTGATCGCTCCTTACCTGTTCTCATTTTGATATATCTCGATATGGGCTGATGATTAGACATATGTACAGGTATCTAGATGTGCACGAAACTCACGTCTCGGTTCGCACTCTAGGAGTCGCGCTGTGTGTTGTGGCGCCGGTAAACACTATATGCAGACAACACCTAGTGCCTGAAACAACCCTGGTATACCAGTGCAATTTATTTCAAGCTTACATTGACAAAAGCTTCAAGCTATATATCTTGAAATTAATATTTTGTTTGCATGAATAACTTCTGTACTAACTAGGGAATGTATCCCCCTATTTTCTACCTTATGTACTTCTTTTAGAATTTCTCTTTACTTGATTTCCCTTTTTTATTTCTCAATGCTTACTAGGATCATTGGCGTGGTGTGTTATTCGAAGTGTTCGATTTCGCACATTGTTGTTAGAGTACAACCTGTCTTTTTTATCTCTTTATGAAGTTGATTCTTATTTATAAAATAGAGTGGATGCCGATCGACATTATTCATTGAGTTTGTTTGTGGGCAGCTTCCTGCCGCAGTGGGTGCTGCTGTGTGACCTTTATATATATTGCGTTTGTAAGTTCTGTTTATTGTTTCTTTGCATGAGGCTTCGCTGTGTGTGCGTCGCGAGATTACGCCGCTCATTCTGCGACGATGCAAACACAGTTTCCCATCACGAATCGCAAGAATGAGCAGCGGGTATTTTACTCGACGCCTCTGCCCAGAGATGGAACTCGTATACCTGCTGTCATGCATGGTGTTCACTGAGGGCGCTTCCGTGTTTGAGTGCTTTTAACAAAGCGATTATGCCGCGAGACCATTCTAACAGTACAATATTTCTCATTGTCTCTGTATTATTGAAGCCTATTTATTTTTAGTATTCTACGTGCGAAATCTGTTTCACTCAATTATGCTTCTATAGCGTTAAACGAATCCCATTTTTAGCATTGCTGAAGTGTCGACGATCATTCGCTCGCTTAGCTCCCTGGCTTCTGTTGGCCACCCTGTGTTTAGTGTTATCCTGTTAGGGCGTCACATCTGAGCAGCAGCAGAGTACTTGTACTCAACCTGATCGATTTCGACAGGTAGGAATGGAAGGTTGCACTTCAAGTTCGCGGCTAGAATTTGTGGTTATATAGACAAAGTGTGCCAGTCAGGGTGACACTCGGTGTGTCGCAGTGTCTTCGCGAATAACACATGAATTACAGCCTTAGAATTGAGCGAGCGAATGAGCAGAATAATGTTATTTACGCGTAATGTTTTTTTCACTGCTCACGCCATGTATTACCCGTGCGATATTCAATTCTCGGAGTGTCTGTCACGCATAGCCTAGGTGCTTGCGAGTGTGTGACTGTAGCTTTCTTTCTACCTGATATTTTAGGTTGATTTCTTTTATATTGCGTTGTTATGCAGTTCCGTGAAATGGTTAGCCGCCATCTTATGACGTTGAACGGCCCGTGCTTAATTCAAAGAGGATTTATATTTCTTGTTCATTATTTCGCACGCTAGGTGCCCCCGCTGCAACTCATCCCAATGTTTTTTTTTTAATAAAGCGCTTGTTTTGTATGATGCTGTGAGAGTGTGTTTGTTTTCGTGTTATCTCTTTTTCTTTTTTTTTTCTTCTAGGGGTAGGAGCAACAAGTGACACTCTTGTTTCTCTTACACGCACTTCCGGTCGAGCCCTGCTTTCCGGTTTCCTGGGTAGTACGAAAATGTGTGTCAATAAACGTAGTACCAAATCAGTGGTTGTGTTTAAAGTCAAGTGTTATATTTAATACATATAATGTTGGACCATCCTTAGAAAATACTTGACGCAAAGGTGGTCGATTTGTCAGAACAATTAACAAAAATTCACGGAATAAATCATTACAAGGGAAGACGCTTTTCTTGTGATCAGCTGGGATTATTGTGACACCTACCGGAGCAGATCTCAGTCACGTGCCTTCTTCGGTATGGTCTCTGAGATTTACTTCGGCGCACGATGGAACAGGCAAAGCAAGGAACACACCAAGGCACCAGGAATTTGACGTGCGAGGCCACTACCAGGCACTTGAGTCAAGGATGAGGTTGCCTTCATTTTACCCCCGATACTATTATCGGGACGGCGAGGAGAGCTAAAGGTCGTAGGCGGCTAGATAGATAGATAGATAGATAGATAGATAGATAGATAGATAGATAGATAGATAGATAGATAGATAGATAGATAGATAGATAGATAGATAGATAGATAGATAGATAGATAGATAGATAGATAGATAGATAGATAGATAGATAGATAGATAGCCTGCAGCGCAGCTGCGCAGAAGTCATGATAGGGTATTATGACGATCAACAATATGCTCCTTATCACATTAACATACACCAGAAAACAAATAACAAAGTAAAATGTGACACAATTAACGTAGCCCGACAATTAGCACATGCCTTAGCAGCAATATTCATAAAAACGCTATAGACGATGGCTGTTATGAAGCGTTTCGGCCGCTGCTTCAAACGCCGAGAGACATAACACAGGAGTTCATACTGATTAGCCCGCTCTTTGAGTTGTCCTGAATGCGTAAATCAGGCAAAAGAATTATTTACATGAGAAAGTACTTTCATGGCAACACTCCTAACTATATTGAGGGTAGGAAGATTAATAATATGAGACATAAAGTTGTGAAGGCGAGCTGATTTCATAAATTGCACAGAAATTTTACCTGGGCTGATGGTTTAGTTATATCGGTTGCTTTTCAATTAAGAATGGTTCAGTAATCAATTTCTTCATTCGTAAACTTTGTCGTTTAGAAGAAAGTGTAAATATGTGACAGATGTCAAACTGAGAGACTCAAGATAGCTAGGAATTTTTTTTTTTACCGCGCACTTAAACACGAACACAAAAGACCATGCCAATAAAAGGGCGGCCACCTCTGCGCGATATGGAATTGGTGACCTCGTTCCTATGTTGCAGCAGTACGCCTTGAACGGGTCCGCTACGGCGGGCCCCACAGCCGAATGAAGGCAGTCTACACAAAGATAAAGTAAGATTTACATAAATAAAAAAATTATGTTGATGTAAGATTACAAAGCTTTCAACGAGCATTGTCTGGGTGAAACTCATTGTTTCCACGCGCCTCGCTCTTGTATCTTTTTTGTCGTATGTAAACGCCAGGTGTGTGTATGCACAGCCAACTCCCATTCAATGGCTTCTGTGGACGAAGCCACGCCCTGACTGCAGAAAGTAAGCCAAGGCAAGAAAGAGAAGCACGAGAGACTATACAAACGCTCGCAGTGACATGCATAACGAAATGCAAAAGACGGAAAAAAATAAAAACAAACAGAGGTGCTTTTTGTACGGAATGCGGTGACTCAAAAAAAAAAAGAAAAAAAGACTATGTAAGCCGTTTTGTAAACGCAGTGAAACCGTAGACGCCCTAACAACGAAAACAGGTAATCCGACCTTGTACGTTGAGGTCCGTTCAAATAAACTCGGTTACCATCTACGAAAGGAGTCATAGGTAGCCAACAAAGATACACTTCGTCTTCTTTGTATTGTAATTGATGACTGAAAATTTAGGGGCTTAGCAGTCGGCTACGAACGTGTGTCCGTTTATTGTCAAACCGCGCCCATGTCAACGCCGTATCTGCGTAATGTTAAAGAGATCAATGTAAATGGATTGCGAATGTCTATCCGATCCATGTCGATGCGCTACGTGGATTAGGCATGGTGCCTTATTGATTGAGTTTAGCAATATATTTTATTAATGTTTGTCCAATCAATGATTCAATTGTGCGGTGTATACATGGGTGCTCTTATAACTTCAGTCGTGCGCCTGTTTTCTCGCGTGTGGGTTATGTCACACAGAGAATGGGTCATCAATAAGCGTGCATATGAATCCAAACACACGGACGTATCTTCATTTGGTACGCGTGAAAGCCTTGCGGCCGCGACTGGACCGTCAACCGATTTGACCGCCACATCATTGTCATTATAAGCTAATGGCCCAACGGGACGTTCGTTGAGCCACATTAGGATAAATTAGGAACAGTATCAGTGAAAAAAAAGGCATACGTGACTAGTTGCCGTAGCGGAAAGAATGCGACACGTGGCGTTGTTTTTCCTCAGCCCGCGGATATGGAAGCGTCAAGAACATTCAATTTGCTAAAGCAGGGGTGGCCGGCAAACAGTACTGCAGCAAACGGCTCCTTCTGGAGCAACTGCGATGAAAATACCATTATCGCTACTCCCAAAAGAGAAGAAAAAAAATTGCCCGCAGCTTCCCTCGGGGGAACACTGAGGAGGATGCGGACCATATAATTGGTTAACGGGGTGTTAAAGTGCGACTAACTTGGGTCGATGGCTAAATTGGTTAACGTGGTTGTGAAATGGGGTGTTAAATTGCGACTTACTTGGGTCGATGGCTAAATTGGTTAACGTGGTGGTAGGAGCAGGTGTTAAATGAGTGAACACGTACACACGTATGCGAAAGGGCGGCGCTGGTCGAAGGGACGTCGATCATTGTGTTTGTGGATTCGTTGGAATTCATTTCACCGCGACCTTGGACGTCGACGCGCCGTACAAACCAACCGACGAGCGGCAACTGAGCGAGCGAGCGCCGACCTTGAGTATATATACAGCTCGACGGCGCATGCACTGTCAGCTGCTGAATGTTCTCGAAGCGCGACGCCACATGCGCGTCCACTGGAGAATCAGGAGAATTGTAGATGTCGAACGCGGTGTGTAGAGGAGGAAGGGATGCACAGATGGTGGAAGAGTGGGCGACGGCGCGACGGCGCATGCGCGCGCGTCAGCTGTCGAATGTTCGAGAAGCTGTGCGGATGGCGCGGATGGCGCGGACGGCGCACTACAAGACGCGAGTATAAGATGCTTCCGCATCTAAAATTTAAAGCAGTCATGTGCGTAGCCACATCTGCCGATAAGCAATGAGCGTGCCTTTCTGGAAGATATGGTCTTTCCGATGAGCCAACAGCAAGGTGGGCTGCTTTCCGCGGGTCTGCCACCCACCCCTTCTTTAGCAAATGGAATGTTCTTGGCAATCTCGTTATTGGCGCGCTTGTGAGCGAAATGCCGCGTGTCATGAGTTTGCGACCCGCGCCATTGAAGGCTTGTGCAATTTTTTTTTTTACCTGTTGAGACTGTACATAACAAACGCGCCTGGCTCGCCTGGCTCTTCTGAGCTTAGCCGGTGAACCGGGAACCTTGCAGATAGCAGGTGTATATGCCTACACGTGGTTTCCTTGCACCAACCTAGTAACGCCATGCTCCTCTTACTACAACGCCCCTCATTGCCCACAGCGGTGATGGATTGCTGGGCAGGCCGCTCGCAGTAACTTTGTTCCACGCGGACTGTTTAGCCACAGATTGCGTGCGAATGGGCGGTACGTGAAGAAAAATGGATCCATTTCCGCCGCCACGAGCTAACGCGGCCATCGCAGAATGACGACACCACGTTCTTCATCTTCCGCGACAAGCAATGTTCTTTGCACCAGGTGTCCGACTTAAAGAGAAGGTGAGGTATCGTTCATATATACTTCAGTGTGGATCCTCGTTTTCAAGAGTAGCCTACAGCAGGACACCTCTGGGCATGCGACGAGCGCAACATTTCTTCCGTCACGTAGTAGGCGTGGATCAATTTGTACAGAAGGAAACACCTTTAAATTAGGCGGCTCAGCTGGTGCTGAGCCACAGTATATGAAGGAACAACATTGCACGCTTGCCGCATAATTCGCGTCTACACTAAAATGCGTAATACGCTGCAAGTGTATCTTATCACCAGGTTATAAAAATGTTATTTCTAAGAGTCGTGCAAATAATCGTTTCCTAATTGTGTCGTTTTTATGGCAATTAAGTAATTACGTAATTGGCTTTACGGATTCAACCAAATACAGGTTTTCAACAAAGCGTGTTCCTCTATCCTCAATAGTGCAACAGAGGAACTTACAGTTGTGCAAAAACGTCACGTACGACCTGGAGGGATAGTGATGAGAACCGCGAAGCAACACGTTACTGACCCCCTCCCCCCCAACCCTTGGTTTTTTCTTCTCAGTGATGTGAGCCAATCACTGACGCCTGAAAATTATGCAGTTATGCAGTTATGCAGAGCAAAACAGAACCTTCTTTATATTTGATGACAATATTTACAACTCATAATGTCTTCTGCCAGAGTGTGTATACGCGTGCTAGGAAATGATACTCACGGCATTACTCCAAAATCTGGAGCCCTTTCAATGAGAAGCTCGTGTTCAACAAGCCCCCTAAGGCATTCACTATACCGGCTTCTCACTCACCTCTATGGTGTTTCATAAGACACTCCCGGGCTGTTCTTCATTTTCACCCATATAAAATCGCACTTCTAAGTGCGGAGTGCTTTAAGAACTCGGGCTGTCGTATGCTGTCTTCGCTTGGCGTAACGCATGCTGAACCACGTATCAAAATAGAAAACGGAAAGAAAGCAAGAGAAAGATAGAAAAAAAAATAAAGAGATAAAAAGATAGAAAAAACGGAAAATGAGAAAAGAAAGGGAAGGGAAGAGGAAAGTCGCAGAAACGCGAAGGGAATCGGAAAAGGCTAG